TTTTTTTTTTCTGAGACAGTTTAGCTCTTGCTGCCCAGGCTGGAGTGCAGTGGAATGATCAGCTCACCGCAACCTCCGCCTCCTGGGTTCAAGCGATTCTCCTGCCTCAGCCTGCCGAGTAGCTAGGATTACAGGCATGCACCACCACGCCTGGCTAATTTTATATTTTTAGTGGAGGTGGCGTTTCTCCATTTTGGTCAGGCTGGTCTTGAACTCCCGAACTCAGGTGATCTGCCCTCTTAAGTGCTGGGATTACAGACGTGAGCTACTGCACCTGGTCTCATAGTGTACATTTTTAAGTGTACAGTTCAGTGGCATTAAATATATAAACATACTTAGGCTACCTTTTATCACCGTCTATCAACAGAACTCTTTCCATCTTAAAAAACTGCAACTCTGTACCTATTAAACAGTAACTTCCCATTCCCCCCTCACTCTAGTGAGGGCTTTTTTGACATCAAAACCTGTACTAGCTGGGCACAGTGGCTCATGCCTGTAATCCCAGCACTTTTGGAGGCCGAGGCGTGCAGATCACCTGAAGTCAAGAGTTCGAGACCAGCCTGGGCAACATGGCAAAACGTTGTCTCTACTAAAAATAGAAAAATTAGCCAGGCATGGTGGCAGACCCCTGTAATCCCAGCTACTGGGGAGGCTGAGGCAGGAGAATTGCTTAAACCGAGGAGGCAGAGGTTGCAGTGAGCCAAGATTGTACCATTACACTCCAGCCTGGGCAACAAGAGCAAAACTCAGTCTCAAAAAAAAAAGGCCAGCGCAGTGGCTCACACCTGTAATCCCAGCACTTTGGGAAGCCGAGGCGGGCAGATCACAAGGTCAGGAGTTCGAGGCCAGTCTGTCTAATGTAGTGAAACCCTATCTCTACTAAAAATACAAAAATTAGCTGGGCATGGTGGCATGCACCTGCAGTCTCAGTTACTCGAGAGGCTGAGGCAGAAGAATTGCTTGAACCCGGGAGGCAGAGGTTGCAGTGAGCCAAGATTGCACAGCCTGGGTGACAGAGTGAGATTTCGTCTCAAAAAAAAAAAAACCTGTACTAAAGTGCTTCATCACTTTCAAGGATAATAAAATTGATTTGATAGCTATCATCATATTACATGTGAAATACGCAAGTGCACAAAGCCCCACCCCACCAAATCTTCCTCATACTTCCACCTGCCTCCCTCACAGAAGTGAAAGTGGAGCTCATGGTCAGTGCCTTGTTCAGGGAAGAAACTAGTTTGTCCCATTAAAAAATTAAAACCTACCTCTGCCCTACTTTGTCCAGGAGATCAGCAATGGCTTCTTCCACTGGGTCTCTTTACCACCAGAACCAATGTCCTTTATGCTGTGAAACAAGCAGATGAAGCACCACGAGTTCCTCATAATGTCCGGTTTAAATAGGCTCCTTTCCAGATGGCACGCACTGACATCAAACTCTTTTCTCCTAACATAAACCAGTTTGGGTTACAAGGAGAGCAGCCTAATATAAAAGTGAAAGTAGTCATGTGCAAAACTTAGATTTCAGAAAATCACAGCAGACTTTTCTGTTTAAAAAGTAAAAGTACCAGCTGACCATGTGTTTTTTCAATTATATTTCAGCGAGATGAATTTTATAAAAATGCAAACATAGATATAACTAGGACTTATTTAAACTAACAAAATATCAAAATAATTTTAGTTAAAGAGAAATAGGATTTAAAAAGGTAAATTCTAGTCTACATTTTCAGTCTGTGCTAATAAAACTCAGAAGGTTGAAATAAATTATTTGGTTCTGAGGTTATGTGTTTCGTTTCTGTAGTGCTCACTTAAAGGAGGAAACAGTGATTCATGGATGAATCCTCTTGCCAAACAGTTTTCAAATATGGGATTGCTGGTAAGTTTTATTTTTTTCAAATGTATAATGTATCCCAACTATTAGGTTTAATACAGATTTTAAGACCACTGCTAGAAAAAGAAAAAAAATAAGAAAAAAAAAAAAGCGGGCCGGGTGCGGTGGCTCACGCCTTTAATCCCAGCACTGTGGGAGGCCGAGGCGGGTGGATCACGAGGTCAAGAGATCGAGACCATCCTGGTCAACAGGGTGAAACCCCGTCTCTACTAAAACTACAAAAAATTAGCTGGGCATGGTGGCGCGTGCCTGTAATCCCAGCTCTCAGGAGGCTGAGGCAGGAGAATTGCCTGAACCCAGGAGGCGGAGGTTGCGGTGAGCCAAGATCGCGCCATTGCACTCCAGCCTGGGTAACAAAAGCGAAACTCCGTCTCAAAAAAAAAGGCAAAAAGACCACTGCGACATATAGTAAGTACAAAATTACAGATTTAAAAACTAATTAAGCAATGTTTTTGATCTTTTGAATTGAGCAGTATTTCTTTTCTGTGACTTTATTCTTAATGACATACTCCGACATTTAAAAGTTATGGCTTTTGGCCGGGCGCGGTGGCTCAAGCCTATAATCCCAGCACTGTGGGAGGCCGAGGCGGGTGGATCACGAGGTCAAGAGATCGAGACCATCCTGGTCAACATGGTGAAACCCTGTCTCTACTAAAAATACAAAAAATTAGCTGGGCATGGTGGTGCGTGCCTGTAATCCCAGCTACTCAGGAGGCTGAGGCAGGAGAATTGCCTGAACCCAGGAGGCGGAGGTTGCGGTGAGCCGAGATCGCGCCATTGCACTCCAGCCTGGGTAACATGAGTGAAACTCCGTCTCAAAAAAAAAAAAAAAAGTTATGGCTTTTAAATTTGTAGTGATTTTGTCCTTTTCCTTAGGAGGATAGAGAAGAGTCAGGCACTTAAAATTTATATAGTTGTTTCTGACCACATTACTGTATTAGTTTTCATATTACAAGTTTTTAAAAGTCAACAATAACCAAATAACTAGAAAAACTATACTGGGACTAATTACGTAGAGAATTCTTGTAGAATTTCTGATTTCTTTATCTCTGGGGAATGGTGTGGGGACACCCTGTCCCTGGTTGCCAAAAGACAAATGACTTTACTTGGCTGCACAGTTGAAGATTTGATGACTTGACAAGTCACGAGAAGAAGTTGTCATCATTTGGCTGCCACTCATGGAATTTGATCCTGGGCTGACTAGAACTTAAGGACAGGGGGTTTATTTCTTCAGGCAGCTGTTTATCTATGGCTCTGTTTGTAGATGCATTGAGACTAATTGCATGTTAAAGCTGAATTGTGAGAATATAGGCCCAAGCAGCAATCAGGCTAGCATATTAAAAATGTTAATGTCTTCATTACCGTTAAGTTCATTTCAGAGGAACTTCTGTAGTGCCAATAGTAAGATGTGGCTCTCAGGTGAATAATGCCACTTCTCTGATTCAAAGACGTACATCCTTAATTCTCTGTCATCTGTTCTTGATTTTTCAGAGTCAGACTGAAGATAATCCAAGCAGCAAAATGGATTTGTCTGTCGGTGTGTATCACTCTGCTGAAAGGAATGAAGTATATCAATGTTGCGATGTCCTGTTGGCATCTCCTGCCCAATTTGAGTTGGGATGGGTGCAGTTCAGTAGACATTTATTGAGCCCTTACTCTTTGTAAGGTACTGTGCCAGACACTAGGTAGGACCGAAAACTCAGATGACTGCAAAAGTCAGGAAAGAATGAAAATGAGTGATGTGCTCAAGGTATAAGAACCTGGGATGAGGTGGCCACAAGTTAACTGTGGAGAGTCCACCTGGAAGAATCAGCCTTGCATGGTTCCTGGCAGTTGCTGCTCTGGAAGAATCCAGCTGAGCTATGACAAGTCTTTCAGGAGAGGCCAGAAATTCAGATGTGTCCTGGCATTCTGATTTTTATTTTTATATTTATTTGTTCTTTGAGACTGAGTCTCGCTTTGTCGCCCAGGCTGGAGTGCAGTGGCGCGATCTCAGCTCACTCCAACCTACGCCTCCCAGGTTCAAGCAATTCTCCCACCTCAGTCTCCCAGGTAGCTGGGATCATAGGCATGCACCACCATGCCCAGCTAATTTTTGTATTTTTAATAGAGACGGGGTTTCACTATATTGGCCAAATTGGTCTTGAACTCCTGACCTCAAGTAATCTGCCTGCCTTGGCCTCCCAAAGTGCTGGGATTACAGGTGTGAACCACTGCATCCAGCCTGATTTTTAAATACTAGAACTAATTCAGATCTCTTAAAATGCTCTATGGGGCCAAAAAATTATGTGCCAGATATGGCCCTCAAGTGGCCAGTCCTGTCTGTACCTAGATGCTGCATTATTGACAAACTCTCACATTGCAGCTGGAGTGGATGCAGTGTTAGCCATTAGTCTGTGGGATTTTTGTAGTAATGTTCTTGATCACTCTGAGGAACTTAAAAAGAAACTAAGAAGAAATGAAAATAATTATGGATAGTAAAGGAAGTAGGTGGTCTTTGATCTATGATATTTCTAAATACGAGAATAATTAAAACGTAAGTTTCCTCGGCGGGGGACACTCGTTATATCAGCAAACAACAGCGGATTTATAGAGCTGTGAAAGAAAAGCGGTATAGTCATGGCATCTGGGAAATTGCACCGTGTAGGTAATGTGGACACATCTTCTGTGTTCAACTCTTAAAGTCTAAATTTTAGGGCAACCACTGTGCCTCCTTGACCTTTTTATTCCTAATAACTGTGTTTCACACAGACCATTAACCTAGCTGATGCTAAAATTGCAAAAACAGACAACTTCTCTCCCTGAGGACATTTGAATTTATGAGCAAGATGTGTTCATCAAACACATCAATAACCAGTCTAAATGTTTTCTTAGCCAGATTTTTTTCCAGGTTAGCCCTAAGACTCTTTCAGTCTTCAGTAGAAAACAAGCTATAACATATACATGTTTTGTTTTATTTTTTATTAAAAATAAATTAAAAGGACCCATGTGTGTTCCAGGGATAAACACCAGTAGCCTGGACCAATGAGAGTTTATCTGGTCTTATCCCCAGAAATAGAAATGTTAATGGCTCATACCTGGCACCCCCATGAAGATAGTGGGGCAGGTCCCTCTTGGTTCATGGGGGAAACATTGATTCTGGAAATTTTCATTCTGTTTGTGCTACTTTTCAGGAAGCCTTTCAGATAAAAAGTTTGATGTGGACAAGCGAGCGATGAATCTCGGGGATTTTAATGATATCATGAGGAAGGATCGATCTGGGTTCCGTCCACCTAATTCCAAAGACATGGGAACCACAGATAGTGGGCCTTATTTTGAGAAGGTGAGTATAATCCTTTGTTTAAGATAATAATTCATGAGAACTGCTTTGGTTCCCATTTGTCTTTTGATAACTGATTCTGGAGAAAGCATAGAATTACTGAACTAGAGAGCAAAACACAGACATCACCTGCATTAAAGTGGTGACCTGAAAACCACCGATGTCAACAAGCGATTAGGCAAGAGCAAGAACCATCTGTCTTTAGCCTGTGTTAGGAAGAAAATCTGAGTTTTGAGAAATTTCATGAAGTGTGGAAATTTTAGAGATAAACTTACTCTGAATTCTTTTTTCTGCTGCTCTATACCTACAAAATAAATTTTGGGATTTTGCGCAAATATTCCATGTCTCCTAAGGCCTTGCCTTCTAGTTTTCAGAGAACTCTGTTGTTACCTTTCCTGAGTTCCCTAGCGATCTGTGTTTAGTTACAATGGTATAACTTTTCAAATTCTCAGCTACCTAATTTAACCAAGAAGTTCCTACCTGTTGGTTTTTATGTTTAATATTTCTAATGGTGGGAAGTATATCTTGATTCAGAATACCAATTTGCCATTTTCCTGGTCTTCAGAAAGAAGCTAAAACCAAAATTTTAAAATCTGGCACGCTTTGACACTGTTGATGCTGGTCCAGACAGCAACATAGTCAGAAGATTGCCCTGGCTTCTGTTGCAACAGCCAGATCGCTAGAGTAATCAATATTAGATGCATAAAAATAAAGTGTCTGGCAATTTTTATCTTAATGCAATGGATAGAACGTGTTACTAACCTAGAAGAAAACAAAAATCTATATCAAAGAAGATGACAGATGGTGTCTGTCGGGCCGAGTATAAAGATTATGATCAGATCCAAATTCCATCCTCGGTTATTGCTAATACACTCTAACTTTGTTTATTGCTAGTATTTCTCTCTTTTCCCTTCTTGCATTCTGTTGCTTCACTAACCAACACTCGTTGTGATTGGCTAACTCCTACTACTTTTCAGCTGACTTTGCCTTTCTCCAATCAAGATGGGTGCCTTGGGGATGAGGCTCCCTGCTCTCCCTTCTCCCCTTCTCCCAGCTACAAGCTGTCTCCCTCTGGTTCCACACTACCCAACGTCAGCCTTGGAGCAATCGGCACAGGGCTCAACCCCCAAAACTTCGCTGCTAGACAAGTAAGGAGGCCTCTCAAATTTATAACTGCTTGGCTATGGCCTCGCCTTGGTCCTGGTCTGCAGTTTATTGCATCATTTGTCTGTCTTGGGAAATTTGTTGATTACTGAATGCACAGAATGATATTAAGTGTAGGTTCTAGATCTTTCAGCCCATAGAACCCATCTCTCTTCATGTTTCTCAACATAGATTTTATTTTAAACCTGTTTTTTTTGTCTTCTCATTTTTGATCATAAGTTCATATTTAATAAGTAAACTAATAACTAAGGAAAATGTTAAAGAGGCTACATAAATACCTTAGACAGTCTAACTTAATGCATTTGCCATTTTAAACATTAGATTGGATAAGTAATACTTTAGAGATCTTTTTAATTTAATAGATCTGCTAATTTTAAAATAGCAAAACTAGTATGATTAAGTATTTGTGGGTTACAGCATCTTGAAATCTAGTGTCTTTAAGTTTAAAATATAATAATTACCCACAGAAGGGTAACTTTAAATAGTAGACAGTGAAGCTTTGGAACGAATGGGTATTGCTCAGACATGGCAGTGTTTCATTGCACCCGGGGTTGAATCTGGCAACCCTCCAGCAAGGGGCTGTGCAGTAGAAGCACGACAGGCAGGGCTGGGAGGATCAAGCCTCCTCACCTTCCCAGGCCTGAGGGCGCACAGCAGGGCCCTGTCTGCCTTCCCACAATGGCTCCATTTTAGTTTTTTGGAGAAAACCAGGAATTTGGAGTCACAATTCCTTTGCAACAATAACCCCAGCAGTGATAGCCATGCTTCTGTGATGTGACCTTCACCTTAGGACGTTGTGGGAGGATGTTAATTATACAACTTGTAATTATTAGTTGTGTCCACATGATGCATACGTGATGATGTTCTGTCTTCTTACAATGACTTCCACATACACATTACATGATAATGTGAAGTAATACCTCTGACACCAGTCAAGTTGCACATAGGTCTCTTATATGCTTTCTAATTGTTGCCTGAGCACATTTTAAAAAATGGATTACACTATATCCATGTGTTCGGTTGATTATTTCTGGATTGGGAGTTACAGCTGATTTTTTATTTTCTTCCTTTAAATTTCATCATTTACCTTACTGCTTCCACAGAAGACATAGATATATATTGTTCATATAAACAGGAAAGAAATTATTATATTGATGTTTTGGGAGTTCTTTTATTTTGAATTGAGGTATAGAAACATGAAACAGGCATAACACAGTTAGTGGTGATTATAAATGTGGTAGATCACATGATTATCAAATGCTGTTAGTACATAAACTAGTATAGTAAACCAGCCAAACTAGCCGAGCATTAGGCTCTAAACAAAGGTCATTCTTCTTCATTTTTTTGATCTGTGGATTGCTACAAAGTCCATCGTTAACAAGGTTTCTGCAGATATCTAAATATGGACATAGTTTTTAAAGACTATTTTAATACAGAATTATTTTAATATACTTCATATTAATAAAATTTAAGATTTTTTGGCCAGGCACAGTAGCTCACGCCTGTAATCCCAGCACTTTGGGAGGCCGAGATGGGCGGATCACCTGAGATCAGGAGTTCGAGACCAACCTGACCAATATGGTGAAACCCTGTCTCTACTAAAAATACAAAAATTAGCTGGGCATGGTGGCAGGTGCCTGTGGTCTCAACTACTCGGGAGGCTGAGACAGGAGAATTGGTTGAACCCAGGAGGTGGGAAGTTGCAGTAAGCTGAGATCATGCCACTTACCTTCCCAGGCCTGAGGGCTCACAGCAGGGCCCTGTCTGCCCTCCCATAGTGGCTCTGTTGTTTTTGTGGAGAGAACCAGGACTTTGGAGTCACGATTCCTGAGTTAAACAGTATAGTTGAAGCAAATATCACTGGACTCAGGTAATTGTAAAAGCCTCCTGTACAACAGTAAAGCTTTAGCAGTAGCCACATAAACCGATATTAGAACATATACAAGTGCCTTATTTTCCTGTTTGTTTTTTAGAGACAGGGTCTTGCTTATGTTTCCCAGGTTGAGTCTCGAACTCCTAGCCTCAGCCTCCCAAAATCCTAGGATTATAGGTGTGAATCACTGTACCTGGCCTGTATAAGTTTTTGATTACTGTTTTCATAATTTCTAAATATTTTTAAAGACCAAATCTGTATGATTGCCCCTGAGTACATCACTGCAAAAATAGCTTTATTGAAGCCAAGAAAATGAACAGCTTGTGATGCCCAGGTTCCATATTAATATACTGACAAGGCATTTTATGATTGACTATTGTGGACTTAGCTGTTTTGTTACCCATTCCAGATATATATCATAGTGCTTTGTGTGGCTTTAGGGTCACTTGATCATGAAAAGCCTAAAACCTATGGTAGGGGAGGATGGAAATTGTCTGCTGGGAAGAGGAAAGTAGGAGTTGATTTTACAGAAGCTTAAAAAGCAAACTCTTTTCAATACTTCTTATCAAAGGAGAGGTTGGAATTTAAAATGACCCTCAGGAAGGAATTTTATATTTCCCCAAAAATAGATTCTGGCAGGGACTTTAGCTACCAGTAACCCCACCGTCCAAGGACCAGTCGTGAATAGTTGACATCTAATAACTAAGTCATGACTTTGATGATCAAGTGAGAAAGATCTTAGCACAATATCCTTGGTGAAATAAATGTTTCCTGTTTTCTTAGGGATGATCAGGGTAGCCAAGCTACTGACTGCCACGGTCTGAGGAAAGTTAGGGCTGAGCCATTTCACTTTCGAGTGGCAGTCTGATTGGTAAGACAGGAGCAGTAGAGATGTTAGAGTTTCTAGAATTAAAGGCCTACTCATGTTTAAACAACTTTTTGGGGAGACATAAAATTCATGGTGGATATTTGATTTACGAGATAAACAGATTTTAATTGCCATTTCGACTTTATGTTTAGAATCATTTTTATTTTCAATGCTTTTAAGTTCACTAATTTCCCTGTAGCAGTCCCTTAATCTATTTTTTAATCATTAAGCCATCACAGTATTTTTCGTGTTCTAGGACTTAATGATGCCATAACAAAATTCTTTAAAATTACCTTAATCCCTGTGATTCCAGGGATTTGATAATGGTGGTGATTTTGATTCAGGGTATACGTACTCAGTATAGTGATGCAGCTATCTTTGCTGAAGATGTTCAGTGGGACATTTTCCAGTGTGTGGAATTGGTGGGTCATGGATATTTACAAATGATATATTCATCCTACAGACCAGGGCTTTACTGAGTTCTGGGAATACAAAGAGGAAAAGATTTAAGCTGACAGTAGAAAGACAGAATGGAAAATAACCGTAGTATGGTTTGATGATGAGTGCCCTCAAAGAGTTTTAAAGTATTTTGAAATTGGAGAGATGGGCTCAATTAATCTGAATATGAAATCAGGAAGATGGTTTTGGGGAAGACTTCCTTGATGAGGATGACCTCCAAACTAGACCTTGAAGAGGTCAAGCGAAGATGGTATCAGAAAGAACCTCAGGCAGAGAGAGCACAGTGTTGTGTTACCAAATACAGTTTCTTTGCTGAAGGACTTTTCTCAGCTAGAAACGAGTCAGAAAGGAAGGGTCACCATATAACCTAAATCTCTTAGTTATTTCATTGGAATAGTATAGAAGTGCTCCAGAGAGTTAGGTCTTCAGAAATGAGGGAGTTCAGCTTATTTTTTAACTAGACTGATATTCATGGGTTTGAATGAGAAGTTACAGGTGAGTAATGTTTATTTTGGTGTCCCTGTAATGATTTTTACTTTCTCCCTTTTTTCTCTCAATGTGTGATTGAGTCACATTTCCTCATCTAGCAAAGAAGGGATTGAGCAGATCCAGGACAAGGAAGGGTGCTAGGCTCACTCTTGGACGGCAGAGAAGTCATATCGCAGTGTTTTATAAATACAACTGTTAACTATTCATAAGCCTGCATTTTTACTCAGGTGCCTTTCAAGATGGAGCTCAGATTATAAAGCTTGAGAATAAATTTGGGAAACCCAGTTGCAAAGAAGAGTACTTGAAATAATGCTATGTTGCCTGTATCTTTCATTCACAAAAAAGAATGTAGGACTTTTCCTAATATTTGACTAAATTGAACCCTTTCCGTTTATAGAGTTCGTCAAACCGTACAGGTGCCCATGATTCAATTTGAGTATTTGCCCTAAGCCTTCTAAGATAAGGAACTTCTCAGTTATGAAATTCTGTTATTCTGTGGAACACAGCCTGTGATTCTTCTGAGGGCTCTAAAAGACCAGAACTGTTTCTTGCATTTTCTTACGTTAACAGAAAGCCTTACTGCTACTCTTCTGTTTACAGGGCGGTAGTCATGGTTTGTTTGGAAACAGCACAGCACAATCGAGAGGTCTGCACACACCAGTGCAGCCACTAAATTCTTCTCCCAGTCTCCGGGCGCAAGTGCCTCCCCAGTTTATTTCCCCCCAGGTAAGCAATTTTATGTTTCTGCGATTCAGAATTAAAAACCATTTCAGGTAGTTATCAGTTGTTAATTGATTTTTTTTTTTTTTTTTTTT